TAGGAGCAAGTTCCCGGGACTAGAAAGGGGCTGACAAGCTTCGTGGACTCGGGGCCAGGAGAGGGGGCGGGCCGGGTCGCTCTGGGGCGTCTCCAGCTCCCCGCCCTGTGCAGCGGGCCCCCATCAGGACAGACGTAGGTGCGGGCAGGCGGGTGGGGGGGGGGAGGTGCCAGGGCCTGAGGTGCCAGATGGGGAGGGAGAGCTCTGCAGCGCCAGGCGTGCGTCCCCACAGGGCCTGCGCCTCAGGCAGCCACGGGAGGGACAGGCTGGGCAGCAGGTTAAGTGTGAGCAGCGAGTCATTCCTAGATGAGCCCTCACTAGTTCTCATCTCTCTCACTTGTGTTACAGCTGTGACGACCCGTGCCCCTGGCGAGGGGAGACCAGAGCGCAGCAGAAAGCACGGCGCGGGCGCCCAGGCTCCTGCGCTCAGAGCCCTGGGCCTGGGAGGAGCAGCCGAGGCGACAGGCAGTTCTCCTGCGCTCACGGTGGCTAAAGCTTGGGAAATGCTCCCTGGTCCAAGGGCTGCGAGAGCAGTTACTGGGCTGATGGTGCACTCACCGGGCCCCCCGCCTGCAGGCACCCCACACATCACCCTCCACGGGCCCCAGACCAAGCCTACAGGCGCCCTTCCCCCACTGCTGCTGTGCACCCAACACCCCGCGCCTGCTGGCACAGAGGGCGGCCACCCAGAGCCCCCATTGTCACCCTGTGGTGCCCCCCCATTTCCACCACCAGGAGGTTGGTCTCTGGCCCCGATTCAGGACGCCCCCCGGCTTTCTCCCTGAACATCGAAGCTGGCCGTCGACATTGCTGGCAGTGCCGCCCTGACTGGCCCCGCTGTCGGAGGGAGAGAGACACATCGGAAGGGAAGTGCCTTCTCAAGGACAACCAGGTTTCCAGAGAGAGAAGCCCAGAGAGCCTCCTCCCAGTGACGTGGGAGGGGGGGCGCCCCCACCACACTCCCCTGTGGAGTCAGAGCCCCCTCCCACTGTCCCCTGGGTGTGTTGCGCAGGGCAGAGTTCGCCTGGCAGGAGACATGGTGAGCTCCCTGCCAACAGGCCCTCGCTCACAAGCATGGTGCCCACTAGGCCTCAAACACGTCCCTTCTGAGGGCCAGTGGGGTCATCACGGCTCCTCCTCCCAGGACTCAGATGGAGAGAGCCCAGATGCGCACACAGGCGGCGGGAACGCTCACTGCAGCTCCTGGGGACCCTGAGGCAGCCCCCGCAAGGGGTGTTCACTGAGCACATTCACGTGGCGGCTGAATGTGACAGCAGCAGTTAAAGTCAAGCTGTCAGCCCTGGCCCAAGGATCGAAGGGTCTCAGGTTTGATTCCCGGCCAAGGCTAAGTTCCTTAGTGCAGGTTCGTCCCCAGGAGGCAACCAATGTGTCTCTCACGTCAATCACTTTCTCTCTCTCTCTCCCTCCCTTCCCCTCTCTCTAAATAAAGTCAATGGGAAAAACATCCCCGGGTGAGGATAAAAGAGAAAGGAAGGACGGACGGACAGACGGACGAATGAACCCAGCTGTCGAATAAACAAATAGGAGAGGCCTGTGTCAGTCTGCGTGGAAATCCATGATGCGAGGCCACGCTCACGCTCCAACTGTGAAGCGAAGCGCGGACAGACGTCTACAAACACGTCAAAGCCCAGCAGTGTTATCTGGGCAGTGGTATTTATTTTTACTTAAAAACATTTCTGCATTTTCCAAATTTTCTACAATAAATACACAGCCCTACTGAGACGAAAGGAAACATGTTACTACATGTGACCCTACCGGAAAAACACGCCCCTGCCCCCAGGGAGCGGGAGCCACACGCTGGCCGGGCAGGCGGGTCCTGGCGTTGTGCGCTGTCAGGACTCCCCATAACTTCGGGGGACAGGGACCGAGACAACGTGACACAGGCAGGGCCTCAATGGCAGGGCGGCCACCTCACGCCTAAGGCACGGCCGCCTGTGGGAGCCACCCCAGCGCCACTGGACGGGCCCGGGACCCTCCCTGCAGGAGCCAGGGGAAGGCAGAGGCAGAGGCAGGGGGCCAGGACGAGCGGGGCCTGCGCGGGGCTGAGAGATCCAGGGGCTGAGAGAACAGGAACACCCCCATTCATCCTCCTCTGATGGCCACAGCGGGGGTGGCTGGCCCGGGAGGGCAGGGCAGGGCGCTCCCACCCCGCAGCACAGACAGAGCAGCCACTCAGAGCAGAACCGCCGTGCGGGCGGGCACACACACACAACGAAATGGCAAGTTACCTGGATGAGGTCTGGAAAATGGCCCGTCTTTAGCTTGTGTGACTCCAAAACATAAGAAAACCAAAATACTGGCCACAATACCTCTGCGAATAAAGAACAAACAGCCCTCAGTGTGCGTAAGCGCAGGTCCACGCGGGCCTCTCCCAGGCGGGAGGCGCGCGGGGTCCCTGGGATGCCCACCCAGTGACAGCCCCGACCCCAGGGGGGCAGGGGAGCTGGAAGCTGGGCCTGGGGCACCCCGTGGAGAAGAGCCCTGGGCTGGGGCTGCGCGTTGTACCTGAGTCACTACCCCGACACAGCGGCCTCCCCTTTCGGGGCCCCCGGGGTCTCGCACCCCCTGGACCTGCGCTCCCCTGTCCTTTCCTCCTGCTCAGCTGCCTCGGGTCACTGGACTATTCGTCCAGCCAGAGAACTGAGACAGGTGGGAGGAGAATTATTTCCGCCCCCGCCTCCCCTTTGGCGAGCCAGCCCGGAGCACCCAAGGCAGGCACTGCAGCTGCGGCAGTCGGGCCGTAACCTCCGTCAGCCTCCTGCCTCCTTCTCGGTGCAGAAGTTACAGTTTGGCAGAAGAAACTGGCTCCGCGGGTGGCGACGCGGAGGTTTCTCCCATTGACTCTTCCCTCCCAGAGGTGGCCGTTTTTCTGCGTCTATGTCCCCGGTGGCGTTTGCCACCAGAAGGAGCTACAGCAGGACAGGACAGGCAGGGCCCAGGGCGCGTCTGCTGAGCCTGAGCCGCTGTGGGTCCCACGGAAACCACGCGAGGCTGTCCTGCCGTCTGGCTCTACGTCCCAGGAGCTGGGCTTGGTCGCTGGTCTCCGCCCTCCGGAAGGTCCACTGAGCGGGTGCAGCAGGCAGCCAGTGGGACAGGCTAGGCTCTGTGTCCTTTTCCGACTGCGCCCGCCTTCGGGGAAGTGTGCCATGGGAAACCCTAGGGGCCGTCCCCACCTGCGCTCCTTGTTGGAGCTGGAACAGTCCCACCGCAGTAGCGCCTGCCTAGCGCCTGCCGGGGCCACGGATTAGCCAGTTGTGGCGGGAGGTGGGAGCCCGGAGAGGCCGCGTGCACCGCTGCCTGCCTGCCTGTGTCCTCCCTACTTCGAGGCGTGAAACTTGGGTCCCTGGCTGCACTGCCTGCACCATGAAGCCTTCGTCCGTAAGAAGGAAACGCTACTGAGGCGGACGGATCCCACTGTCACTGGCTAGACAGACAGATCCTTTGAATTGGAAAAACTTCCAAATTGAGAAATGTCTAGCGAGCTCTCACCATAATAGCACTTTTATTGATAACTATAGAAAGACCGAATTATTACTATTGTTTTAAAGTATATATTTATTGATTTCAGAGAGGAAGGGAGAGAGAGAGACAGAAACATCAATGACTGAACCATTGACCAGCTGCCTCCTACATGCCCCCTCCTGGGCATCGAGCCCACAACCTGGGCACATGCCTGACCAGAATCGAACTGTCACCTCCGGTTCCTAGGTCGACGTTCAACCAATCAGGCCCAGGTTATTCTGTAAATGAGTGCACAGAAATCTAGCAACAGCCTTACAGACAGAACCCGCCCGGGGAGCCTCACTGAGTTCAGTCTCCACCTCCCCTCATGAGTCCCACACGTGCTAATGAAACATTAGGTTAATGAGCCCTGGCCAGTGTGTTCAGTGGTTAGAGCATCACCACCCCGTACCAAAGGGTTTCAGGTGCGATTCCCTGTCAAGGGCATGTACCTTGGTTGCAGGTTTGATTCCTCAGCCCTATTTGGGGCATGTGCAGGAGGCAACCAGTCGATGTCTCTCTCTCACATCAATGTTTCTCTCTTTCCCAACCCCCTTCCATTCTCTCTAAAACTCTATGGAAAAAATATCCAAGCGTGAGGATTAGAAACAAAACAAAAACACACACACATTAGGTTAACGAACAAGAGAAAGGGGGAAGGCCCCAGGGAGACTCCAAAAAGGTGCGAGCCTTTCGAGGTGATTGAGAAATCAGGCGAGTAAAGCAAACCCTGACAGGAGCAGAAGGAAGCGACGGGAAGTCCCCCTCGTCCCAGAGGTGGGGATCCTAGATGGTCAGTAAGATGCTCGAGAGGATTCAGTGACTCCTTGACCAGAAATGTGGTGACATCGGGGAACGCAGTGCAGAGCCTGCCGGGAGCTTTTTAAAGGCCCCTCCCTGAGCCAATATGCGCCGTGTGTGCCAGGGACAGGAGCTGGTCAGGGATAACTGGTTAGACAGGAAGGTCAGCCCATGATGTCACTGAAGTTTCACCCCAATTCCTTGGGAATTCAGAACAAATGCCCACATCTCACAACCCGCGGTGAGGCGGATGCAGCGGCAGGAGCGGCTGGAGCCGACCTGCCTTCTCCAGGGCTGACGGACAAAGGCGCCCATACCCTGCTCCCCTGGCCCCATGCTCCCTGGTCAGGGACACATGCAGGCCTTTACCCGCACTCTCCACAGACACCCTCCGAGAGCCCACACGCCCAGGGGACCCCTCACCCCCGCCCCCCAGGCTCCAGGTCTCCGTGCGTCTGTGTGTGCTCAGATGTGCTGTGCAGCATTCTCTACCTCTGCTGATACTACTAATTTGTAAAAGTCCTCTATTTTTATTTTAATCCTCATCTGAGGACATGTTTTATGCTTTTTAATTGATTTCAGAGAGAAAGAGAGATGGAGACAGAGACAGAAACACCAATGATGAAAATCATTGATTGGCTGCCTCCTGTACTACCCACACTAGGGATGGAGCCCACAACCCGGGCATGTGCCCTGACCAGGAATTGAACCCTGACCTCCTGTCCTCACAGGTCGACGCTCAACCACGGAGCCACACTAGCGGGCTGGGGTGAAGTCTTTAGCAATAGCTATATTTATGTGCACTTAAAAATGGTTTCCTAAATCTCTTTGAAACTTCCAAGTTTTGCTAACTACGTTAAGTGATGGAAATTCATGGCTATCCAGACTATTCCCAAATAAGATAAATTAATGTAACATTGATTACTGAACATAGATTTGTCTACTTTAGTGTCTCACCACAGAGGAACCCATGATATTCAGCTTTCATAGTAAACGCGTCTTGTGCCTCATTGAAAGAGCATATGAAAAAGCACCTATTTCTAGGAATTACAAAATGTATTCATCAATTTATTAACCTATGGATCACTGGTGTGACAGTTCACAATTGCTTACTTCTCAGTTTTCACCAGAAATTAAAGTTTCTATAGGTTAAGAATTCTAATATATGTAATTAAAGCCACAAATAGTAATAATAATGATAATAATAATAAAAAAATAGGGAAAACAACTGTATGTACCAGGAAAATAGGGCACGTTTTGGCTTAAAAACAGGCGGGAGGCGTGGAGATGTTTTCGTTACGGGACATGACAGTGATCTGTCCTGTGATTTCTGAGGGAGTCAGAGAGAAGGAAGCTGCAGCAAGTGTGGGGAAGGGAATGCGGCCACGCTGGGTCCGAGCGGCCGGAGGCGCTGGAGCAGAGCGTGCAGCCGAAGAGCGAAGAGCGAAGAGCGCGCTGTGTTTCTGTGGCCGCGGCCCTGATTCTGAGAAACCGCTCTCCAGGGCAGGAGCTCATCTGCGTCTGAAACGCAAAGGTTCAGCCACAAAACGCAAAGGCGGGGCCGTGCTGCTTCCGCAGGGAGGCCCCTTCCTCCCACACCCAGCGCCAGCCGGTCATCCTGACGCCCTGTCCACGGCTACCGTCTGCTCCTAAGTCAGGGCAAGGAAGGTGGGTGACCACGGGTGTGAACTGAGCGGCGGCGGCTACGGGCACCCTGGCCGCCCACTCCCGGCGTCTGCCTCCCTTCGCCGGGCGGTCAGGTGCCGCCGCGTGCACCGTGCCGGGGGCTGAGGTCTCGCGGTGCCTGGGGCGGTGGGAAACGCGTTTCCACGTGAGGCACGCCTCCCACAGCCTCCGGTGGTCGAGGTGCCTCTCCGAGCGCTGAGCGCGCTGGGCGCCGGCACACCTCCCGGAATCAGCCCGCCCCCCTCATCTGGACCAACAGCCAGGCCACGGGGTCCGGAGACCGGCCCAGCCGAGTCTCCACACGGACGGATGGTGAAGGGGGACGCAGTCTCTGTGACTTTCTGTTTGAAACACGGCTGGTTCTCTCTCCTCCCCGGACATACAAGGCCTGGAGGACACAGGAACTCACGCAAACCTCCAGGCACCGCGGGGAGCCTGACGCGAGTCCTGGCCTCGGCTTTTCTGGCCTCGAGGTCAAGCTCAGCCTGGAGACCCCTGAGGGACAGTCCACCGAGACTGCGCTCAGCGGTCATTACTGCCCCTGCTGCTCCTGCAAAGAACAGGCCACGTTTACTGAAACCGGACTCTTGCTAGGAACTAGTCTTTTTGTTTGTTAACCCTCACCTGAGGATATTTTTTTCCCATTGATTTTTAGAGAGAGCGGGAGGGAGGGGGGAGAGGAAGAGGGAGAGAGAATCACTGATTGAGGTGAGAGAGACACATCGATTGGTTGCCTCCTGCATGCACTCGACTGGGGGTTGGGGAACGAACCTGCAACCCAGGCATATGCCCTTGACTGGGAATCGAACCCAAGACTCTTCATGCACAGGCCAACCCTCTAACCACTGAGCCCGCCAGCCGGGCCGCCCTCTAACTGTGTGCTGTTTCCTGTGGTGGGTTTTAAGAGTTTGCATATTTTGGAAACAAGTCCCTTCTCAGGTACGTTCTGCAAACATTTCTGAGCTGTCTGTGGCTGGTCTCTCCTGGTCTTCACAGGACCATCTGTGCACTGATGCCACTATGTAGACGTCCCCATGCCACCAACAGATCAGCGGGCCACTGACGTGTGCGGTGCCGGCGGGCACTCCCAGCCGCGAACCGGGCCAGAGCGGCGCCCTGTGATGTCACAAACCACCGTGCGGGGCAGCAGCACACGGTGCTCACTGAGCGACGCCCCCTCGGAGCTGTTCAGTGGGCAAGAGGCCTGGCTGACCGGGGGCTGCCTGAGGCCGGCCTATGTTAAATTATACACCAATAAAGTGACAGAGCCTGCTGAGCCCCAAAACAAGAACAGTGCACACAAGCTGGAACGGAAAGCTTGAGAACAGCTCCCTAAGGTGCTCAGTGCCAACGTCTGAACGTAAGCAGGACCTGTGCGTGGAGCCTGCCGAGGGCAGCAGAGCTGACAGGGACCCCAGGGTGCTGGCACCTGCTGGGGAGGCCCAGTCCCGGCCCCGGGAGGCGTCCCAGGCCACTCCGCCCGGGGCCAATCCGCATGGGGCCAGCTGCTTCCTGCCACAGTACTTGCCCGGTGACATCAGAACTGCTCATCTCTGCCCCAATTTCACAGTGTATGGCACCTCTTCAGTGTGGCCACGCCCTGCCCCGGCCTCCCTGCCCAGCTGTGCCGGACCCTCCACACAGCGAGACGCCTAAAGGAAACCAGGCTGGCGCGGAGTCTCGCCAGAGGGGGGCGCCCTCACAGACCCCAGGAAGGCTCCAGAGGAAGGATCACCAGTTACAGCCCCAACAGAAACGATGCCCAAGAAACTGCTGCCCAGGACTCAGGGAGACACCGTCCCTGCCCTCAGCCTCCCGCCCTCCACAGACCTCCCTAAGAACTCCCTCCTTTTCTCCCTAAAAGAACGCTCTCTCCTCTGCTTGTTCCACTTGCTAGAACTTGCTCGTCCCTAATTGTAATTCTTTGCTGTTCTCCAATAAACCCATTTTTTTCTGGTCAAATAATTTATTTTTTAAGTCAACAAATCCAGCCGGACAAACTCACAGAAAAGATCAAGTTCTACTTAGAGTCCCCTCTCGGAAAACCCGGGCTCCTGCCAATAGCCTCAGTGTCTCCGTAGCCACCGGTCCCGTGTCCTCCCGCGGGCCCTGCTGCACAGAGCACAGCCCCGCTCCCTCACCACGCGGGACCCACTGCCCAGGGCCCCAGGCACAGCCCCACTCCCTCGCCACGCGGGACCCACTGCCCAGGGCCGGCCCGCCACGGGCCTGAGTGCAATCAGGGGCCGGGGCCAGAGCAGGGCCCAGCAGCAGGAGGCAGAACCGGGGAGAGGTGCGGACTGCTGGGCTGACGCCCAGCGCTGACCGGGAGATGGCGTGGGAGAGGGGGCAGAAACCCCACGGTGGAGCAGCATGACAGGGGAGGACAAGACAGGGGCGCCTGGAGGGAGCACAGGCCTGAGGCCAGACCCCTGGCAGCCACTGCGACCTGGGAGACAGCTGGCAGGCGGGGCTCGCCGCAGGTGGCTCTCCAGTCCCCCATCAGCGGGCCCAGGACACAGCCGACAGGAGCCACCTGGCCTCTGAATGGGCCGCTGACACCTGCAGGGCACACAGCGCGCACGCCGCTCCCCGGCAGGTGGTTAGCTCTCACGCTACGGAAGGGCTGGCCCCGGGAGGGCTTACAGCCCGTCCCCCCAGGCGACCGCTGTCCCTGGCACTGCCAGGCTTCAGGGCTCTGCCCCACCTGCTGGCCTCCGCCCTCCGTCCCGTCCAGGGCCGCGGGGCCTGGTTACCTCTTGGTGTTGTAGGCCGTGTCCTGGGGCGTCTCCTCCAGCAGAGTCACGTAGCCCAGCACGCAGGTGAGGATGAAGAGCACGGTCAGGGTGTGCGCGCGCCTGAAACCGAACACCGCGGCGTCAGGCCTCACGCGAGACACGCACCCTCCGCTCAGAAAACAGGGCTGAGCGTCCCTAGTGGGGGGACCCCGCACTCGGGGGAGGAGCACAGGCACACGGGAGCGCTGAGGTGAGGGCTGCACTCAGAGGACCGCGGGAGCCTGCGTGCTGTGCGCGGGCGGGCAGCTGTCATGGCCAGCCTCGCGAGCCATGCAATGACATCTGAGGTTCCCAGGACCACAGCCCAAGAAACGAGAAAGGGAAGGGGTGAGGGACAGAGGGACCCGCCGCAGGAGGGCGCACCCTCACGGAGCCTTCACTCGGGAGAGCTGCGAGGCGCTGAGGAAGGCGTGGGCCTGGCATGGCCCTCGGCCTGATGTGGGAGGACAGGCGGCTCGCCCGGAAGCGGGCCACAGGCACCCAGAGCCGACCTGGGAGGACCGTAGTGGCCGCGTCAGACACTGGCCTGGGCCCTCTGCGAAGGGGGTCACAGCCCAGCTCTCAGGCCTCAACGAGCAGGGGTCCCTGCAGAGACGACGGGACCCGGAGTCTCAGTGTCTCCATTTCCAGGAGATGCTTCCGACTTGGGAGGCGTCCGTACCCAGTGAGTACACCCCCCAGAACAAAAGGTACCCAGGGGGGACCCCGCAGGACGGCCCAGCACCCCGCTCGCCGGCACCCCGCTCCTCCCCTCAGGTTTGCTTCCTGCAGTTATGCCAGCTCCTGGAATCTTGGCTGATTTGGGTCTCCCAGTGGCCAGTCATCTCCCAAATAGCAGCTCCTCACTCACTATGGCTCAGGGAGGGAAGGCAGCAGAGGACAGTGGCAAAAGCAGACC